TCCTTGGGTTTTCTTTTTGCTTCATTTTATCTCGGACTGGGTACTACAGAAGCTGGAAAAATGGAAATGCCAGTAAGTACAGATATTTAAAAGACTTCGAAAAAAAAAAAAAAAAAAAAAAAAAAAAAAGCCTGTTCTTTCTAGCCATGTGGCCAGGAACGGATAATCTAACAAGACAGAAAATGTTTACCAATAACTGCTTTACTCCAGCCAAATCCACAGGGAAACTTGAGCCATCCCCTCCCTCACAGACAAACAAATACACACACCAGCTAGAGCTGAGTGGAAAGCCTAGACTTGACCCATGCCAGACCTCACATGGTGCCAGAAACCTGCCCCCACTCCCATCCCTACAGAAGAGGGTAGCATCAGAAAAGGTCTAGTGGGAGCTAGGAATTGTATACCCACCTTGCAGTAAAGGGATGCCTCGGGCCCCCTCGGGCTCTCCATGGAGACCATATTGGAGCCTGGACTTCCACTCCCAACCAGTCAAATCAGGTACCCCTTGTCCTCCTTACTGGGGTGATGTCAGAGGAGGACAAATAGAAAGTTTGGACATTCATCACCATTCAGCTATAAAAAGGTTACTTCTCATGGTATAAGTGGAGGAACATCAAGAAGAAGGGTGCCATTACTACTTCTTAGCAATAAAGAGACATTTTCCCCTAGCTCTGTGTTAATGAAGACTGAGTATAGAACTTGAGCTTCCATTCTACCCTGCCAGTAACAAGATAGTATCCTCACTTTTGCTAGAGCAGTGTTAGCGAAGGTCTGCTAAAACATGGGATTTAAATATGGTCCAGTCTTATAATATTCCCAATGTTCAGTTGTCAGTTAAAAATTATCCATTGTGACAAATCAAAACCACACTGAGCAACCACCTCATGCTGGTCAGAGTGGTTAAAATGAACAAATCAGGAGACTATAGATGCTGGCGAGGATGTGGAGAAACAAGAACCCTCTTGCACTGTTGGTGGGAATGCAAACTGGTGCAGCTGCCCTGGAAAACAGTGTGAAGGTGCCTCAAAAAATTAAAAATAGAACTACCCTATGACCCAGCAATAGCACTGCTAGGAATTTACCCAAGGGATACAGGAGTGCTGATGCATAGGGGCACATGTACCCCAATGTTTGTAGCAGCACTTTCAACAATAGCCAAATTATGGAAAGAGCTTAAATGTCTATCAACTGACAAATGGATAAAGAAGATGTCGTTTATGTACACGATGGAATACTACTTGGCAACAAGAAAGAATGAAATCTGGCCATTTGCAGCAACGTGGAGGGTATTATGCTAAGTGAAATAAGTCAGTCAGAGAAAGATACCATCTGTTTTCACTCATATGTGGATCCTGAGAAACTTAAAAGAAGACCATGGGGAGGGGAAGGGGAAAAAAAGTTACAGAGAGGAAGGGAGGCAAACTATAAAAGACTCTTGGATACTGAGAACAAACTGAGGGTTGATGGGGGTGGGGAAGAGGGGAAAGTAGGTGATGGGCAATGAGGAGGGGACCTGTTGGGATGAGCACTGGGTGTTGTATGGAAACCAATTTGACAATAAATTATATTTTTAAAAAAAATCCATTGTGCTCCAAGACTCAAGATGGATTCAAACTTAGACAATAAACAGTTGCCAAATCCAACACGACACAAATTTTAGTATTACCCGAATAGAATTTAACATAACCATTATAAAAATACTTCAGTGAGTGGTTATAAGTACAATTAAGACTAATGAAAAAAATATGAACTCTGGGCAAAGAAATAAAAAGTTGCAGAAAAACAAAAAGGTGATATAAAGAAAAATTAAATGGGAATTTCAAAAATTAGATATAGCAAATGAAAAAATTAAAAAACAACAAATGGGCTCAACAGCAGAATGGAGAAGACAAGGGAAAGAGTCATTGAACTTGAGGAGAGAACAATAGAAATGACCAATTCTGAAAAACACAAAAAAAAATTCACTGAAAAAAAAAATGAACACACCTTCAGGAACATGTCAGACTAAAACAAAAGATCTAACTAACATTTGGGTCTTTAGAATTCCATAAGGAGAGGATAAAGAGGGTGGTACAGAAAAAATATTCAAAGAAATAATGATTGAAAGTTTCCCAAATTTGGAAAAAGGCAGACCTACAGGATCAAGAAGAAGAGTTAACTCCAAACAGGATAAATCCAAATAAATCCATGCCAAGACACAAGTTAAACTTCAGAAAGCTAAAGATGAAGAAAAAAGTCTTGAAAGCTGTTGTAGAGAAGTGATGTATTACTTATGGGGGGGGGGGGAGACTAGTCAAATAATAGCAGAAGTTTTATTATAAACCTTGGAGGCCAGAAAGAAGTTGCATATCATTTTCAAGTGCTAAAAAATAATGAACTTATGACTCCTATAGCTATCTCCAGGGGAAAATAGTCTCCACAAATGAAAGAGAAATCAAGACTAGCAGATGAAGGAAAACCAACAATTTGTCACCCTAAACGACCCCTAAACGAATGACTACAGGAAGTTCTCTAAGCAGAAAAAATATAATAAAATAAGAAATCTTGGAACATCAGCAAGTAAGAAAGAATATGTAAGCAAACTTATGGGTAAATACAAAAGACTTTCTTTCTCCTTTAGAGTTTTATGAATTACATTTGATGATTGAAGCAAAACTGTAACACTGTCAAATGTGGATCTCAATGTATGTAGAGGCAATGGGAAAAAAAAACACATCGTTAATAGAGGAGGATAAAGGAATGCAAAGAAAGGTCAGCTTTCTACACCTCACTAGAATTGGTAAAGTGTTGACACCTGTAAACAGTGATAAACTGTACACACACACACACACACACGCACACACACAAACCCAAATACATCTCATGCATTACATTATACATATATACGCATACATATATATAATGTAATATTTAGAATAACTATTAATAAAGCTATAAAGAAGGTATACTCAAAACACCATAGATAAGATGAAATTATAAAAAGTGTTCAAGTATCCTACAAAAAGGCAGAAAAGCAAAATAGAGGGGGAAACAGAACAAACAGAATATTAAAAAATAAAATGGCAAACTTAAGTCTTAAAAAATATAAAAATGATATGTAAATGATCTATAGATACCAAAGGATTGAGATTGGTAGAACGGGTTAAAAAAAAAAATGACCCAGCTATATGCTACCTACAAGAGACTCACTTCAATTATAGAAATATAGGTAGGTTGGAATAAAGTTAGGGAAAAAGATATACTCTGCAAAGTAATTAAGAGGAAGCAGGATCAGCTGTATTAAATATGCTTCAGAACAACAACAAAATAACTTACCAGAGACAGAAAGAAAAAACACATGAAGGTGAATTGGTCAATATACTAAGAAGATATAACATTCCTAAATGTGTATTCACAAAACAACAGTACTGCAAAATATGTTGAGTAAAACTGATAGAACTGAAAGGAGAAATAGACACATCCACAATTATAGTTGAGGACTTCAACTCCCTCTGTCTCAAAAATTGATAGGACAGCAAAAACAAATAAACAAAAAAAGCCTAAGTGAACAACGAAACAGAAAATCAGCAAGTACATAGAAGAATTCAACAGCACTATCCAACAACAAGATCCAATTAATATGTATAGGACATGCCACCTCATAACAGCAAAATACAAAAAAAAAATATGGGTTTTTTTTTCAAGTGCCTATGGAACATATACCAAGATCAACCATATCCTGGCATAAAACAAACCTCATGAAAAGAGGATATATTCCCTGATCACATAGAATTAGACACAAATCAATAATAGAAAAATAACAGAAAACATTAAGAAACACAGAAAACATTAAGAAAAAAACACTTTAATTATCCTTGAGTCGAAAAGGAAATCAAGGGAAATCAAAAATTACATTGAACCAAATGAAGCCATCAATGATAGAATTACAGGAGGGAAAAAAAATTCTTACTTTCAAATATTCATTATTAAAGTATGTTGGGAGGTGGTAGTGAGTGAGCACTACTTTTCCACAATCCTACCAGGAGAAAGACATTCTGGGGAATCTTGTATGAGTTTGTGAACATAAAATGCCAAGGGACAAGTAAGTGGCTGGGTTGGAATTTAAAGGAGGAAAACACAAACCCAAAGCATCAGGCAGGGAGGGCTTTCCCTTTGTTTACTTATTTATTTATTTATTTGTTTAAAAAATGTTTATTTATTTATTTTGAGAGAGTGAGAGAAAGCTCAAGCAGGGGAGGGACAGAGAGGGAGACAGAGAACCCCAAGCAGGCTCTGTGCTGCCAGCGTGGAGCCCGATGTGGGGCTCGAACCCATGAACCATGAGATCGTGACCTGAGCCAAAACCAAGACTCTGATGCTTAACTGACTGAGCCACCAGGTGCCCCTTTCCCTCTATTTAAAATACTATGTAGAGGAGGAGTTTATAGAAAGATGAAAGTGATCTGTGTCTGTTTTTTTTTTTAATTTTAATACAGTGTGTATAATTTGAAACTATTTGATGATTTTACTTAAAACTTATTTTTTTTTTTAATTTCCTATTCCAATTTGAGGAGGTGATTGTGGGGATGTAGATGCCAAGAGGAATGATTTTTAGAAACCTAGCATACCTCTGTGGAGAGATGTCTTTTCACTTGACCTCACTCCTTGTGGAGAAACTAGTTTGAATTTTATTTTGTACATAAATAACAGGACATGAAAGACTGGGAAAAGTTAGTAGCAGGCCCCAAAGAAGGACTCACGAAATTTTCTTGCAAGTTAGCAGGTAGGTTTTCAGAACCTGTGCATGAATCCTGCGACAGCTGCAGAATAGCACACACATACGGTGACAAAAATTATATAGACCTGAGATTCTAGCAAATTTGGAGCCTAGGCAGAGAAGGAAGTCGAAATGCCACAAGATTAGGAAAGTCTTAACGGACTTTCTGAGCAAGTGGTTAATGAGTAACAGATTTGGGCGGATATATCGGAAGATATTGCCATTTTCATGTGAAAGTTGTTAGAGAATAAAACACTCCACATGTTAGTGATGGTTTTATCATCAAATTTCATGGGCTTTCCACTCTACCTCATTCTCCAGCCCCTCTTGCTTTCCATCTGGGCACAAGGATCAGGTAACTCTTCACATTTTCTCGCAATTGTTTTGTGGCTGGAAATGAATGGTAAATAAATACCAGGATGGAGTCTTTTCACTTTTATAAAGTTAGGGGAGCAGAGCATTATGTTTGGGTCTGCATGTTAACCATGTAGCTATCCAGGTGGTTGGCAACTAGCAGTTTTAAGATGAGCATATTGAAACAATGACTTAGTAAGCAGAGAATGAAAGAAAGGTATTAAGGAAGCCTTGCTTCTGAAGTAAGCCCGAGTAGTTCAGATTAGAGGCCACACACCTGATGGAAGCAAATGGGCTCTCTGTAAGTTAGTTAGTCCGTCAGTTAGTTAGTTAGCTAGTTATGCAGTATTTCCTGCAGCCCATTTGCCTTTTAAGTCTGAATTTGACTTGTTTTGAGGCTCTCCTTGGTCACTAAAAGGTTTATCATTTTTATATTGTCAAATTTGTTCATTGTTTCCTTCATGGGTTTGCTTATCATTACAAACTGAAGTACTCCTGAGATGTTAGGGATTTACTAAATATTCAGGTACTAATATCTTCTAGTCATTAAAGTTGTTTGGTTAAAGATATTTAGGGGCGCCTGGGTGGCTCAGTCGGTTAAGCATCCGACTTCAGCTCAGGTCATGATCTCACGATCGTGAGTTCCAGCCCCGCATCGGGCTCTGTGCTGACAGCTCAGAGCCTGGAACCTGCTTCGGATCCTGTGTCTCCCTCTCTCTCTGGCCCTCCCCCGTTCATGCTCTGTCTCTCTCTGTCTCAAAAATAAATAAACATTTAAAAAAAAAAGATATTTAACTCAATTCCATCTTAAATCTCTTGGGTTCATAGTAAGGGCAATAACTAATGTTCTGTAGGAATTCAGTTGAGAAAATAAATCATGATTACTTCCAGTTAGGAAGTTTTTTTCCTCAAGAAGTATCATTTGAATTCAATTAGATAATCCAATCAAAAGTTGAATGAGGAGTGACATATGCTGAGAACAAAATGATGTGACAGAAGAGGAAACCAGTATGTCCCATGTTACTTCTTAACTTAATCATCTAAACTACAAAATGGAGAACACTTGTTCTGATATCAGATAACTCAAAATCCAGTAGGGCAAACAGCCTGTGGGCAAATAATGATAAAGAGATGTGGCAAGCACAATTAGAGAAATTGTTACAGTAATAGTGATAGCTTATTTGTTCCCTTTAGACTTTCATTAGGTATTATAGGTGTCCCCTGCTTTCTGAAGGTTCATATCACATCACTTTGCTTTTCTGAAGGATCTGCATTAGTACCTGTTGTCGCTAGCTAAAAAAAAAATTTGAAGAGGACTTTGCTTTTACAAAAAAGCCCTCCTGTGCTAATGTAGGTTCTTCCTAAAAGCAAAATGGTGGAACTGCGACTTTCATAAAGCAGGGAACCACTCTTCACTTTAAGCCATTTCGGTTTATGAAAGGTTTTATAGGAACACACTAGTTTCAGATAGTGAGGGAAATCTGTTAGGGGTCTTTGTTTGGGGACGGGGACTACATCACCCATGATACCTGAAATATCTTGGTGATTTAGAACTGTCGTTATATTTACATATTCTTTTCGGATACTCACAATACGCTGTAAATCAGGTATCTTAAGCTCATTTTTCAGATGAAAAAACTGAGGCTCGGCAAAGTAAATGATTGCTCTAAAACCTTACTTCTTGAAATTAGCACAGGTAAGACATCATTACAGCTCTCTTGTTCGCAAATGAAATACTCTTTATAAAACAAACATGTTCTATGTATTTAAATATTCTCCAATGCTAAGTATAGTTGCAGACCAATGAATTTTTGAAAAATATTTGCAAAAAAATTTGTTTATAATTTGAATATAAAAGCCAAGACAAGTGAACGAAAACCAGATATAGTCTGAGGTAAGTGGAGTAAGGTACATGAGGTTTTTTTTTAACCTTTGCATTTAAGTAAGGCAGACATACAGGAATGTGTATAAACATAAGTATGCAGTTTGATTAATTTTTTTAATGATTAGACCAACATATCTAGCAAAGATCAAGAACAGAACATTAACAGCATCCCAAAGCTTTATTCATGCCCCCTTCCTTTCTTTCCTACAAATGCCACTATCCAAATTTCTTACACCATAGATTCATTTTATCTGTTGTTGATATATAATACATATATTGATTATATATATTGATTATGTATGTTAATATATATGTTATATATATTATATATAGAAACATAATCATTTAGCATTTATTCATTTGTGTTTAATTTCTTTGGCTCAACAATACATTGGTGAGTTTTATCCGTATTGTTGAGAGTAGATGTAATTTATTAAATCTCATTGCAGTTTATTAAATCCCATTGTGTAAATACCATAACTTGTTTATCAATTCTACTGTTGATTTGCATTTGGGTAATTTCTGTTTTGACTTTTACAAATCATGCCTCTGTGAACATTTATGTACGTGTGTTTTGAAGAATATAAGTAGGCATTTCTATTAGATATATACCTAGGAGTAGATTTTCTGATCACAGGATATACCTATGTTCCACATTTTTTTAATTAAAATATAGTTGATACACAATGCTACATTAATTTCAGGGGTACAACATGGCGATGTGATAAGTCTAGATATTATGCGATGCTCACCACAAGTGTAGCTACTATTTGTCCATACAACATTGTTACAGTACCATCAACCATGAAGCCAAAAGGTTTTCCAGTTTCCACTCCCATCAAAGTATGAATTGGTTTTTTACATATTTTCACTAAATTTGGTATTGTCTGTCTTTCAAGCTAGTCATTCTAGTCATGTATAGTCCAGGTTTTAATTTGCATTTCCTTGATGACTAAAGAAGTTGAGCATCTTGTCTATTGGCCATTTAAACATTCTCTTTTATGACGTGCATAGTCATATATTTTGCTCCATTTTCTATAGAGTTGCCTGTCTTTGTCTTATTGCTTTGTAGAATACAAATCCTTACTCATATATATATATATATATATACATATAGCAAGTATCTTCTCTTACTTTATGGGTTGCCTTTTTACTGCTGAATATGTATCTTTTGATAGACTGCAGTTAATTAATATTAAAATAGATCAATCACTCACTTCTAATTTTTTATAATTTCATATTTCTAAAAAAGGAATAAAGCATCATATAACTGTTGATGTATGCCCTACTTAAGAAATCGGCTACTCCAGCCAAGTAGATGTTCTATAATACTTTATTTGTAAAGCAGTGTTTTATTTTCACATTTACATTTTTAATGCATTTGAAATGGATTTTTGTTTCTACTTTTAGATGGGAGTCAATGCATTTGAAATAGATTTTTGTCTTTAGTCTTAGATGAGAGCCAATATATAATTTTTCCATATGGATATCTAATTTACACATCATCATTTATTGGGAAGATAATCTTTTTCCCAAATCTATGCACTGTCTGTTCCATTTGTGATATATATCAGATGCACATATATGTGTGGGACTGTTTCTGACTCTACTTCATTGTGTTTCATCCATTTCCTTATCCTTGAATAAAAATAACATTGTATTACTTTAGCTTTACATTCAGATAGTAGGTCTTGTTTATGCCCTTGGCTTTTTTAGACTCAGCTTGTCAAATGCAGAATTAAAAAAAAAAAAAAAACTGCTTGGGGGCATCTGGGTGGCTCAGTCAGTTAAGTGTCCAACTTCAGCTCAGGACATGATCTCGCAGTTTTTGGGTTCAAGCCCCACGTGCTCAGAGCCTTTCCTGAGCTCCGAGCCTAGAGTCTGCTTCAGATTCTATGTCTCCCTCTCTCTGTCCCTCCCCTGCTCACACTTGTATCTCTCTCTCTCTCTCTCTCTCTCTCTCTCTTTCTCAAAAATAACTAAACATTAAAAAATCTTTTTTAAAAACTGCTTTAAATTTTATTAGAGTTGCATTGAGTCTAAAAATTAGCTTGAAAAGAATTAACATCATTATTTTTTTTCCTTATTTACAGTATGATGTATCTTTCCATTTATTTAAGTCTTCTTTATTTTTTTTAGATGTTATTTTGCATATTTCAGTAAAGAGGTCTTATATATCGTCCAATAGGTTTTTATTACTATATATTTCTTTCTTTTTTACTTGGGAAGCTATTTTATATGGTATTTTTAATTTTTTTCCATTTACTTATTGAAGATATATAGAAATATAATTGATTCCTTAAAAAGACTTTATTTTTTAGAACAGTTTTAGGCTTACAGAAAAACTGAGAAAATAGTACAATGTTCCTATATATCCCTTACCCGGCTTTCCCTACTATTAACATCTTATGTCAGTATGGTACATTTGTTCTAATTAACAAATTACATTTTATGTATTTTTCATAACTAAAGTCCACAGTTTATTCACATTTCTTGATTTTTAACTTTTTTTTTTTTTTTTTTTAAGGATCCCACCCTGGTTATCCCATTACATTTCTTTGTGTTGTCTCCTTAAGCTTCTCTTAACTGACCGTTATCTCAGAATTTCCATATTTTTTATGACATTGACTGTTTTGAGGGGACTGCTCAAGTATGTTGTAGAATTACCCTCTATCAGAATTTGTCTGATATTTTTCTCATGACTAGAGTGCCTTACAGGTTTAGGGGAGGAAGGCCACAGAGGTAAAATGCTATTTTAATTATGTCATATCAAGTGTACATACTATGAACTCTTATGTCTACATAGGATACATTTGTAATACAGTTAGATTTTCAGGTTTCAGACTGCACTCCTTGGCAACCTCTGTCTCCTAAATAATTTTTTTTCTTAAATGTTTATTTATTTTGAGAGACAGCACATGTGCAAATAAGAGAGGGGCAGAGAGAGAATCCCAAGCAGGCTCTGCACTGTCCTGTCAGCGCAGAGCCCAAGGGGCTTGATCTCACAAACCATGAGATATTGACCTGAGCCAATATCAAGGGTTGGACGATTAACCAACAGAGCGAGCTACCCAGGTGCCCCAATAATTTCTTGAATTGTGTACTTGAAGATTCACTTTATGTGCTATAAATCTCTATACATTTTGACAAATGTGTAAGGTCACTTAGCAACCATTACAGTATCATACAGAATAGTTTCATTGCCCTAAAAATCCCCTGTGTCTCACCTGTTCAACTCTCCTGGCTACTCCTGAACCCCTGGACACCACTGATATTTCTACTGTCTCTATGGTTTTACCTTTTCCAAAATGGTATATACTTGGAATCACACAGTGTGTAGCCTTCTTAGTTTGGATTCTTTCACTTAGCAATATGTATTCCATATTTATCCATGGTTTGTATGTGTGTGCACGATTTGATAGTTCATTTCTTTTTATCGCTGGATCATATTCTGTTGTATAGATACTACAGTTTACTCATTTACCTATTGAAGTCATATTGGTGCTTTCAGTTTTTGGTGATGATGAATATGCTGCTCTAAACATTTACCTGTAGATTTTTATGTAGATATAACTTTTCAAATCAGCTGGGTGAATACCTAAGAGCACAAGCGCTGGATCCCATGGTAAGAATATGTGTAGGTTTGTTAAGAAACTGCCAACTCTCTTCCAAAGTGGCTCTATCATTTTGCATTCCAATCAACAATGAATGAGAATTCCTGCTGCTCCATACCCTCACCGACATTTAGTATTGTATATATATATTTTAAATATTAGCCATTCTAATAGGTGTGTCATGGAAGCTCATTATTATTTTAATTGGCAATTTTCTAACAACAAGAGATTTTGTGCATCCTTTCATGTGCTTATTTGCCAATTATATATCTTTTTTTGGTGAGGTGTCCATTTGGATTTTTTGCCTATTTTTACATTGTATTGTTTGTTTTCATTTTTTTTTTTTTTGTATATTTGGATACAAGTCTGCTATAGCCTGAATCTTTATGACCCCTCAAAATTCATATGTTAAAATTTTAACACTCAACGGTTATGGTATGAGTAGGTGGGGCCTTTGGGAAGTGATTAGCTCATGAGTGTGGAGCTCTCATAAATGGGATTAGATTATAAAAATCCACAGAATTTCCTAGTTCTTTCCACCATGTGAGGACACAACAAGAATTCTATGACCCAGAAGAGAGCCCTTTCTCAACCATGCTGCCCCCTTGATCTTGGATTTCCAACCTCCAGAACTGTGAGAAACAAATTTCTGTTGTTTATAAACTACCCAATCTGTAGTATTTAATTTTAACAGCCTGAATGAACTATGACAAAGTATGTGTTTTACAAATACTTTCTTGCAGTCTGTGGCTTGTTGTCATATTGTCTTTACTTTGTCTTTCACAAAGCAAAGGTCTTTAATTATAATAAAGTATAACATCAATTTTTTTTTCATTCATGAATCATACTTCTGGTATTATATCTAATAACTTATCACCAAACACAGGGTCACCTAGATTTTCTCCTGTGTTTTCTTCCAAGTTTTATAGTTTTGTATTTTTCATTTAGGTCTATAATCCATATTGAGTTAATTTTTGTTAGTTAGGTGTCTATCTTCATTTTTTTTTAGCATATGCCTGTTGTAGTGGGTTGAATAGTGCTCCCACCCCCATTCTTGTCTATCTGGAACATAGAATATGATCTTATTTGGAAAAAAGGTCTTTGCAGATACAATTAAGGTGATTTCAGGAAGAAATCACGTTGGGTTAGGGTGAACCCTGAATCCCAAACACCTTGATTTAGGACTTCAGATCTCTAGATCTGTGAAAAATAAATTTCTATTGTTTCAAGTCATGAAGTTTGTGGTACTTTGTTATGGCAGCCCTAGGAAACTAATCAGACACCCAACTGTCCCAGCAGCATCATTTGTCAAAAAGGCCATCCTTGGGGTACCTGGGTGGCTCAGTAGGTTGAGTGTCCGACTTCAGCTCAGGTCATGATCTCGAGGTTCATGAGTTTGAGTCCTGTGTCAGGCTCTGTGCTGACAGCTCAGAGCCTGGAGCCTGCTTCAGATTTTGTGTCTCCCTCTCTCTCTCTGCCCCTCCCCCGCTTGCACAAGCTCTCTTTCAAAAATAAACATTAAAAATGTTTAATTAAAAAAGTAATAAAAAAATAAAATAAGAAAAGGGCTTTCCTTTCTCTGTTGAATTTCTTTGCACCTTTGCCAAAGATCAGTTGACTCTATGTGTGTGAGTCCATATCTGGACTCTCTATTCTGTTCCATTGATCTATTTTTTTTTTTTTTTTTTTTTTTTTTGCCAATTCCACAGAGTATTGATTACTCTAGTTATAGTAAGTTTTTAAGTTGAATAGTGTTAGCCCTCAAACTTTGTTGTCCTTCCATATTATGTTGGCTATTCTGGGTCTTCTACTTCTCTTTATAAACTTTAGAATCAGTTTGTCAATGTCTGTAAATAACTTGTTAAGATTTTAATTGGGATTGCATTGAATCTACAGATCAGGTTGGGACGAACTGATATCTTGATAATATTGAGTCTGCTTATTCACGAACATGGAATATTTCTCATTTATTTAGTTCTTCCCTGATTTGCTCATCGAAGTTTTATAATTTCCCTCATATAGATCTTGTACTTATTTTGTTAGATTTATAACTAAGTATTTCATTTGGGAGCTGCTTATGTAAATGGTATTATGTTTTTAATTTCAAGTTCCACTTGCTCATTGTTGATATACAGGAAAGCGATTGACTTTTGTATATTAATTGTGTGATCCTACAACTTTGCTATAATTGCTTATTAGTTCCAGGAGTTTCTTTGTTGCTTCTTTTTGCTTTTCTACATAGATGATCATGTCATTTATGAACAAAGACAGTTTTATGTATTCCTTCCCAATCTGCATACCTTTTATTTATTTTTCTTGCCTTATTGCATTAGGAAGAGCTTTCAGTATGTGTTGGAAAGAAGTGGTGAGAGGGAGCATTCCTGCCTTGTACCTGATCTTAATGGGAAAGCTTTGAGTTTTACACTATTAAAGTATAATACTAGCTGTAGGGTTTTTGTAGATATTCTTTTTTTTTTTTTTAAGATGTTCTTTCTCAGGTGAAGGAAGTTACCCTCTATTCTTAGGTTACTGTGAGGTTTTATTATGAATTGGTGATGGATTTTATCAAATACTTTTTCTAAATCTGTTGATAGGATCTTGTGACTTTTCTATTTTAGTCTGTTGAGGTAATAAATTACATTAGTTGATTTTCAAGTGTTGAACCAGCTTTGTAGACATGGGATAAATCTCACTTGATCATGGAGTTTATTTTTTTATACTTTTTTAGATTCAACTTGTTTAGAATTTTTGCATATATGTTTATAAGAGATATTGGTCTGTAGTTTTATTTTCTTGTAATGTCTTTGGCATTTTCTCTTTATTCTTTTTAGCATTTCCGTATCTATGCTTACATTATCCATATGTTTTTGCACGTGTCAAACTTTTTCATGAGTCTTTATTATATTAATCATAGTTGACTTTAATTCTCTGTCTGATAATTACAAAATCTGTACTGTATTTGAGTCTGGCTTGGATACTTGTCTTTTCCAATTATACTTTTCCAATTATCTTTTCCAAGTATTCCAAGATACTTTGTCTTTTCCAATTACTTTTATTCTGGGCTTTTAGCATGCCTTACAACTTATTTTTTTTTTAATCCAGACATGACATGTCAGATAAGAACTAAGGTAAATAGAGCTTTAACTTGGGTTTTATGTTATTCTGACAGGGAGTTGGGTTGTGTTTACTGTTCACTATAGGTTAAGGTATCAAGGGTTTCAAATTCTTGTAGTTTCTTTGTTTTTGTCTCTCCTATTGATGATTGAAGTCTGAGCGTTACAACCATTTCAACTGTAATCCACTGTCATTATATTGGAACCCTACTGCTGTGGTGGGGAAGACTTAAGGAAGTAAGTATTTTAAAATCTTATGTTTAAATTTCACTCTTGGTAGGCCTATGACCCTTGGCTGTGACTTCAGAAGTTTTTGTACCTTTTCCCCCTGCCTTCCCCACCTTAGATAAGATAGGAAAGCTAAAGGGAACCAGATCTGGGTCATTGTCCTTCCATCCATGTGAGATAAGGTTTGATAAAGTCTTTTCCCCTGGAGAAGGGGACATTTTTATGGAAAATGCACTGGGCTTATTTCAACATGATTACTTTCTCCTTCCTTTGCAAAGATATGAGGTGAGTTTTCCTGGCTCTTCACTGCGAGAAACTGGCTAGGTTCATGCTGGTGGAAACTATGAATTTTAGGTCCTCCCTAATACTGGAGCCCTGAGGAGTTTGTCACCCTCAAGCTAGTTCACCCTCAACCTCCAGAGATTCATCAAAATTACCATTACTTGTGTTGGTAATTTATGTTTCAAGTTTTGCCCTCAATAAATATTTGTCAATAGGTAGTATATGTCAGAAACACTTTTAGAAACTACCTATCAATGGTGAAGAAGATAAGAAAGCTCATTTTCTAGTGGGGAAAGACACAAATAAAAAGATAATTATAAAACAGAGAGATAAGGGAGTGCTATGATAGGGATAGTATCCAAGGTAGTATGAAAGTACATTTCTCTTAATTTATACTGGGCTTTATTTTCAGATTCTCCACATAGAATAAAATACAAAAATAATGAGACAGCTGTATTTGGAGAAAATGTGACGATTTTCTGCAATTTGACAACTCCAGCAGATGTTGTGCAAATTACCTGGCAGAAGATCCAAGGTTCTTCGCGACAAAATATTGGCACATATAGCAATATATATGGAGAAAAGATTCTTCCACCATACAGAGATCGGCTGCACTGTGAGGTCATCGAACCCAATTCCTCATTCATAACTATCCGTGAAGTAACATTTGAAGATGAAGCCTGCTACAAATGTCTATTTAATGTGTTCCCGCAAGGCAGCCATAGTGGACAAATTTGCCTTAACATTATAGGTATATAAGTGTTTTATGTAAAGTCAAAATCAAGGGGATGTGAGCTTTGAAGTTTAAGGTCCAGAGAAAGAATATTAAAGAAGGAAAGACTATTACAGAGGCCATCCATAACCAATCTTTTGTTATACAGAAGAAAAAAAGTGGAAGCCAATGATGGCTACATGACTTTCTGATTTCCACATGGTTCCTGACCAGGCATAACATTTAGGTCTTCTGACCTCTCATCTAAATTTTACACTGCATTGATTTTAATCCAGTAGATAAAAGTCATAAATGGCATCAGAATTTTCACTGGGAAAGAGAGGAAAAGATAAAGAGAGAGTAGAGAGAAAAAAAAAAAGAGGAAAGAAGACTTAGAGAATAAAAATTTACTAACAAATTAACAAAATGTCGAAGGAATAGTGATAGTGACATAGTGTCCCCTCATTATTTTGCTATAACTTTAAAGTGTTGGAGATTTATAGAATGTAATTTTAAGGTTGAATGAAAGTGGAGATACCAACTGTTCCTCTTAAATTGGAATAGTGGGTATAAGAGACGAAATTGTGAAGTTTTGCAAAATGTGAGGAGAGGTATCTGAGAGGGACATGTTTACAACATTTCACTGTCATATACAAATTTGGGGAAGTCCATCTTTAACACTTCAGAAATCTTGTGTGACATATTTTTATATTTAATTTTGTGTCTCCTTTTTTGTCTCAGCTGTATCTGAAATAAAAACTGAGCTCCAGTCCAACTTTGACTCTGAAGATTTTCTTAGTTTTATTTACTCAGCTGTGGGAAAACCTGTTCCTCAAATATCTCTTTTCCCATCAAAAGTCTTGATTAATCCACCAGAGGAATACCTTGCTCAGAACCCAAACGGCACAGTGACTATCACGAAAATGTACAACGTCTCCTTGGAGACTGTGAGATCCCTAAGTCTCCAACACCTGATTGTGCACATGGATCATCCTCTAAGGAATGAAGAGAAGATTGTTCCTCTGTCAGTCAAACAAGAATGTAAGTAGAAATAATAATCAACAAGGGAAAATGTTTTAAAAATTCATACCAGAAGTGTTTGTGTGCTCATCTATTTTTAGAAATGTTAAGTCTTTGTGGTACTCCTGCATGGTTAAAAGAATCAGGCAATGCAAATGTTCTCTACCCCAGTTCTGTCTCCAATGGTAACTGTTCTTAAAGGGCAAAGTCTTCACTGATCTCCCTTAACTGCTTTCCACTGAATTTCTGCCACAGGCAGTGAAGACTAGGTTCACTCATACCTCCTTCAACCGTTCCTCCTCCCAATATGGTTCCTTTCTTCCCAGTATAGTTCTCTTACTGCTTACCTCTGCAGCCGTCAGCAGCATGGTAAAACCTATTTTTTGTTTCATCCACCATAGAAAGTCTCTCTCAGCTGCCCATTTCTCCTTGCCTGTCTTCCACCCAAGCTCTGTCAATTGTACCCTCTGTTTCAAAGCCGTAATTAAACAAGGTATGATTTTTCTTAAAACTTTAAATAATAATTTCAATATATTTATGTTCTGCATTTATATAATATAATTGCCTACAAAATTTAAATAATTGTTTTTATATTTCACCTGGATAATCTTTCAACATGAAACCATTTTGTCTCTATACATTAAGTGTAAATCTGATATATTTAGGTTTTCATTTACCGCCTTATTATTTGCTTTCTATTTTCTGACCTGTTTTATAATCCTTTCTCTCCCTGAATTCTTTTGGATTATTTATTTTTGTTTCATTTACCTCTTCTATTAGTTTGTCAACTATACATTCCTGCATCCTTCTTTAAGGGTTGTCTTGGAGACTGCAACATACATCTCTTGACTTATTAAATTCTAATATAATTTACTATTTTTACTACTTTTCAGATAATGCAATGGGCTTATATGAATGCCCACTCCTTGTGCTATTGGTTTGTGCATTTTATTTATTTATTTATTTATTTGAGTATAGTTGACACACAATGCTATATTAGTTTCAGGCGCATATTTTGTACATTTTAATTCTTTATATATGTTTAAATTCCAAAATATGTTATTGTTTTTGTTCCTGTTATTTATAATAATATTCTTTATATTTATCCTTTCCATTGTTTCTTCTTTGTCCATGTTCACACTTTTCCTTCTGCCTAAAGAATTCTTTTTTGTTTTTTTCATAGTGAAAAATTATAGATGGCCAATTATTTTAATATTTTTGGTCATAAAATGTTTTAACTTTTGAAGAACATTTTTACAGGATTTCTGATTCCAGTTTGATAGTTATTTCATATTTTTCATCACCTTGACAACGGTATTTTATTGGCTTCAGACTTTCATTACTTTTGTTGAAAAGATATATATCAATTTTATTGCTGGTCCTTTGAAATGTATCTCCCTTTCATCCTGGCGGCTTTTAAGATTTTCTCCTTGTATTTGTTTTATGTCAGTTTTATTATTAGTGCTTTGGTGTCACATCCTTTGTATTTGTCTTGCTTGAGTCTTTAGTTAATGTCCTTCATCACTTTTGGAAAAAATGTAAACTCAGGAAGTGGGGAGGATAAAATTTCTCCATAATTTGTCACATTCATTCAAGAACAAAAAGCATCACTCGCCATCAATGATATTGGTTCATAAAGTTTGAATGAGTGAAGGACACATCACATTTTTTGGAAGTTTAACAATTTGGGGTACATAACCAGCTACTGGACTATTGGAATAAGTAGCCTACTACATAGTCCAGATGGGCTAAACATAACCTCACTTGAACCTAGGATGTCTCATTAATATTTGAATTAAACAATCTGTGGACTAACCTAAATAAAGTACAAGGTAACAACCAGCACAAAATGAAACTACTACAAAATATAACACACTCAGGCCAACATAAATTATCCTTCCATCATTTTCATGCCTCACTTCCCCAGGTTAATACAACCTGGTTAAAGCAAAGTCACCTCAGTGCTGTGGAATTAGAACAGTGGGAAATTTCCCTAGGGATTCTGATAGTCATGCTAACAGGCCACAGGGTCTCTCCTATGGTCTTACAATGCTGTTTCATGTGATTGGTAGTTTGCTTGTTACACAACTTTAGTTTAACAACCCTTTTGCCCTCAGAATTTGCAAAGTAGTCCTCCATTGTCTTTGATCGTCCATTGTGATTGATGAAAAGTCAAGTGTCAATCAGAAAATTGTAATAGTAAATATTACCATATCTTCTCTTTGGTAATGGTAACCTTCTCATTATCCTTAGAGCTCTGAAACTTTCTACTACTATTTTTAGAGTATTTTATTTATAGTTCTTTAATGTAATTGGCATTTGGTGAGTTCATTCAATTTGGAGACTCAAATCTTTAAACTCTGAATATTCTCTCCTTTCTTTGAAAAATTTCCACCTGTTCACTTAATTTATTCTCTTTTTATAAACCTCAATTAATTGGGCATGAAAACATTTACATTGAATCTTATTTTCATCTTTTAAAAAATATGTCTTTTCTTCCCTTCATAGTATCTGGGAGACTTAAAAAAATATCTTTAAACTTTTTCATTCAAGTTTTTCTTTTTTTGACAATCAGGCTTATAATTTTGAATTGCTTTTATAATTTAAGATTATTTTTATAAATTAAAGTTGATTTAATTTTTTCATACCCTTCTCTTCCTGCTTTAAGAAAGTAATATCTTGTCAAATCTTGTAATTATCTTCTGTTTCTTTAATTATCTCCTCCACTGCCCACCCTTGGGACACTACCACCATTTTAATTTTATTTATGCTTCTATTACTCAATCTTTCTCACTTTTTTTTTTTTTTAATTTTTTTTTTCAACGTTTATTTATTTTTGGGACAGAGAGAGACAGAGCATGAACGGGGGAGGGGCAGAGAGAGAGGGAAACACAGAATCGGAAACAGGCTCCAGGCTCTGAGCCATCAGCCCAGAGCCTGACGCGGGGCTCGAACTCACGGACCGCGAGATCGTGACCTGGCTGAAGTCGGACGCTTAACCGACTGTGCCACCCAGGCGCCCCTAATCTTTCTCACTTTGATTACAGGTTTTATTCAAACTCTGATGAGCCCTGACTGCAGCTTTATAGATTTTTTGTGTGTTTTTTTACATCTTGTAAAGAGACAGACTTTTGTTTGTAGAAAGGAGGCAGCAGAAGACTCTAAAAGCCAGAATGGAAGGGCCTATACTCAAGGTGTCTGACCCCCTACCCTAAGTATTCCTAGTATATATTCATTATATTCAATGAATTACTTAACTATTCCTTCTTCCTCTTCCCCTTGTCCTCCTCCTCCTCCTCCTCCTCCTCCTCCTGCTGCTGCTGCTTCTTCTTCTTCTTCTTCTTCTTCTTCTTCTTCTTCTTCTTCTTGCTGAAGGATCAGAGCACCTGGCTGTCCAGAACTGAACTTTCGGATATGGAAATGGGTGCTTTTGAGTGTAAGTTTCATTCTGTGATTAATCCCTCCTTCTTTTGTCATCTGAGTTCTAATGCTGTCCAGTTTCTGTGGGGCTCTCTCTGCAGGTGTAGTCTGTTCTGTGCATACATGAGCCTGCAGCTTCTCTCACCCTGTACCTTCAGAGGCCATTCCTCTATCCACTTCACATCTGTTGTAAATTTGTTTAAATCTCTTGCCAATGAAGATCATTCTTCTGTCTGCTGTTTTTCGCTGAATCAGTTTATTTTTGTTACTATAATTTTAATGGAGTCTTAGGAAGGGTAGAGGTAAATATTTTTGTTACATGTGTTTCTTGAAGCTGAAGTTAATCAGGTCCTCTTTCTGTAAAAATTCCTTAAATCATGAGATTGGAACATGCCCATTGAATAGCATATGTATATATCTCTCATCAATCTATTGGCTGGATTATTATGGTTAATTTCACTTCTCGCTAAAATGCAAATGTCTGTAAAGAAGTAATTTGTCAATTCAGAAGATAATTCTTCCTTGCTTAGCTTTGCAGCAAATAGTAGGGATATAAATTCCTGATTTTTTTTTTTTCTTTTTGAGAGAGAGAAAGCATGTCAGCAGGAGAGGGGCAGAGGGAAAGAGGGAGAGAATCTCAAGCAAGCTCTGCACTGAGCATGATGTGGGGGCTCGATCCCACGATCCTGGGATCATGACCTGAGCAGAAATCAAGAGTCGGACCTGCAACTGACTAAGCCACCCAGGTGCCCCCTATAAATTTCTGGTTTTACTGAAATCTCATAGAAAGCCCTTTTTTTCCCCATGCTTTATTATTGCTGACTTTAGTGCTGTGTTCACATTTTAGTGCCAATTTAGGGCTGTATTCACATTTTACGCCCATTCAGCCTTCTTTGCCCAGTTTGAATGAGCTATGTAGTATCTCATTGAAAAAGAATATAGTTAAAACTAGAACCTGAGACCAAGTGACATCTGAACAGTCAAAAATAAATAGCACAGAGTTTCTCACATGGATTTTCCTAACAGTATCAACGAAGAAGTAATCGCTAACAAAAATTTCTCAAAAAAAGGACTCAAAAACTCTACCACAAGCAGACCTAAGAATGCAAAATGCACAATAATTCATGCCATTTACTGTAAGCACAATTTCCTCACAAGGTCCATCCACAAAGTGTATTGGTTCATTTTTATATTATATCTAAGAACTAGCATTGATAATCATGATGATCTTCGGTTAAATTTAAGTTGTAATGAAAAATGTAATTATATTCAGAAGATAGAATATACATATCTATTCACAGATAGAAGTGGATTTGTAAGGGGCGCCTGGGTGGCTCAGTCAGTTAAGCGTCCGACTTTGGCTCAGGTCATGATCTTGCGGTCATGAGTTTGAGCCCCGTGTCCGGCTCTGTGCTGAACGCTCAGAGCCTGGAGCTTTTTTCGGATTCTGTGTCTCCCTCTCTCTCTGACCCTCCCCCGTTCATGCTCTGTTTCTCTCTGTCTCAAAAATAAATAAACGTTAAAAAAAAAAAAAGAAGTGGATTTGTAATACAATTTAGGAATACTATGGCCAAAATAGTTACTATAAAGAGTGTTGATAGGGCGCCTGGGTGGATCAGTTGGTTAGGTATCAGACTCTTGATTTTGGCTCAGGTCATGGTCTCATGGTTTGTGAGACTGGATTCTCTCACTCCCTCTCTATCTGCCCCTCCCCTACTTGTGCTCTTTTTCTCTAAAAATGCATTTAAAAAAACTTAAAAAAAAAGAACTTATCCAACTCAACACTCAAAAAACAGCTAATCCAGTTAAGAAATGGTCAGAAGACATGCATGAACAGACATTTCTCCAAAGAAGGGATACAAATGCCTAACAGACACATAAAAAAATGCTCAACATCACTCATCATCAGGTAAATACAAATCAAAACCACAATGAGATACCACCTCACACTTGTCAGAATGGCTAACATTAACAACTCAGGAATCAACAGATGTTGGCAAAGATGCAGAGAAAGGGAAACCCTCTTACACTGTTGGTAGGACTGCAAACTGGTGCAGCCACTCTGGAAAACAGTGGGGAAGCTCCTCAAAAAATTAAAAATAGATCTACCCTGTGACCCAGCAATTGCACTGCTAGGTCTTTATCCAAAGGAAACCAAAATGCTGATTTGAAGGGGCACATGCCCCATTGTTTACAGCAGCGCTATCAACAATAGCCAAATTATGGAAAGAGTCCAAGTATCCATCAACAGATGAATGGATAAGGAAGATGTGATAAATATATACACAAAGGAATATTACTCAGCCATCAAAAAGAATGAAATCTTGCCATTTGTATCAATGCGGATGGAACTAGAGTGTGTTATGCTAAATGAAAAAAGTCGATCAGAGAAAGACAAATACCATATGATTTCACACATATGTGGGATTTAAGAAACAAAACAGATGAACATAGGGGAAGGAAAGGAAAAATAAAATAAGATAAAAACAGAGAGGGCGGCAAACCACAAGAGAGTGTTAAAAAGAGAGCAAGCTGAAGGTTCCTAGAGGGGCAGTTAGTGGGGTGATGAGCTAAATGGCTGATGGGCATTAAGGAGGGCACTTGTGATGAACACTGGGTGCTATATATAAGTGATGAATCACCAAATTCTATTCCTGAAACCAATACTATACTATATGCTAGCTAACTTGAATTTAAATAAAATCTTGGAAGAAAATTTTAAAAAAGTGTTGATACTCAAAGTTTTACAATATTCTTTTTCATAAGACTGCAGGCTCCGGAATCAGACAATACTGAACTTGCTTCCCAATTTTGCCACTTAATCACTATGTATCTTTGGCCAATTTTCTTAACATCTCAGAGCCTCTATTTTCCCATCTGTATCTAATAATGTACTCCCCTGGTTAATGTAAATAATCCTTATAAGATGCTTATCACATTGCTTAACACATTAATCTTAAGTACTAATTATCATTATAAATTTATTTTCTGGGGCTTTTGCAGATACATTTTAATAATTGAATAATATTTCATTGTGACTACATTATGTTTTTCTTAAACATTTTCTTGTGATTGTTCTTTTGGTGGTTATACCTTTTTTTCTTATTCTTGAGTGTGGTAAAATGGTATTAAATATTATCTGTCTTCAATTTGAAAATGCGTTAGTGTATTCTTTTACAAAATTGAATATGGTAAATAATATTAAAGTATCAATTTGATTATCAACAAAGCAATGGTAAATCAAAAGAGCATTGAAGATTTAAAGTACCGTGTGTAGAAATGACATATAGTCACAAAGAATATGTTTCTGCTTGTGTCTTTCAGGTACTTCTGGTTCTCCTTATATTTTGTTGTATGCATTTGGTTCATTCATAATTTTTCTATGTATTGTATTTATCATTTTCCATCTTGTTCAGAGAAAGAAAAAGTAAGTTATATTACTCCCTGTCTATGATAGGGAAGGTGGGTAAAATAGGTATAGTTTTAAATCTAAAAAAATTTTTTTCATGGAAAAATTCATCATGGAAAGAATGATGATGGAAAACTCTTTTCCCTATATTTAATAATTCTTGCAGTCAAGGGTTTATTCTTATTAAAATGATACCCTACTTGGGATTGTTACAAAGGTAGGCTGTTAGTAATTTATGCTATGGTAAATTGAGTTTAAGATTCTTTCTTGAGGACAGATTTTGACAGGACAGAGCATATGGACTTCAGGTGACTGGTGGGAAGGGATCCACTGAGTGGTGAAAAAGGCTGAATGTGAACAGTTTTTAGGATTCAAGAATGAACGAAAGGAGGTTTTTAAAAGAGGTGATTGCCATAGTCAAAATGGGAATCAACAGTGGTCTGGACTAGGGTGGTAGCAGTGGGAGTTGAGTGAATTAGGGATAGGTTTAGGATGACAAGATTTGCTGCTGGAGAAGATGTGGATAAAGGGTAAAAGGGGGAAATTATCTTGATGATTCTAAATGTTTTGCCATGGAGTGAAGAAGCCTTTTACAAATGGGGAGTTATTAGAGGAAGAACAAATTTGGAGGGAGGATCAAGAGTTCTATTTTGAACATATTTGTTTTCACATGTTTATTTGACAACCAAGAGAATGTCAATTATCTCTATATATGAATCTGGAATTTACAGAGCAGATAAGGATCAGAGGTACAAATTTGGGAGAGTAGAAGGTATGCTCTTTAACAGTACAGATCCTAAGTTATGACTCCACTACAATAGAGTGGAAATAACCTGCAAGTTCTGTTAATGGAGTATATTTATGCTGAACTCAGCATTGAAAAGACATTTTTTTTTTTAATTTTTTTTTCAACGTTTATTTATTTTTGGGACAGAGAGAGACAGAGCATGAACAGGGGAGGGGCAGAGAGAGAGGGAGACACAGAATCGGAAACAGGCTCCAGGCTCTGAGCCATCAGCCCAGAGCCCGACGCGGGGCTCGAACTCATGGACCGCGAGATCGTGACCTGGCTGAAGTCGGACGCTTAACCGACTGCGCCACCCAGGCGCCCCTGAAAAGACATTTTGATCAATCTCTAAAGAGATCTGAATCTCCCTTTTTTTTTTTTTTTTTTTTTTTTAATTCATAGTGTACTCTCACAATATACTGCCATTAGGGGGAGTGTTTGGACTGTATTCTTCTAATGAATATATCAATGTCATCATACCTGTAGGTCAGAGAATGTGCCTGAAGCCACACCCCAGCTGAGACATCCTGAGGGGGAGTCCTTAGTAACCCGATGTTTTCCTGCTCACAGGTAATTAAATTGGCAGGTGTGTGATTCTTGCTGTCACTGTGTATACTTCAGATTTAAGACTTAACCTTCCATATTAAATCATCCATTTGGTAGCAACAATTATCATTTAAAAAATAAATGGAAACAAAGATTTGTTTATATAATCCAGTTGCATGAACTAGTGGGTTCAAGTGAAATTGTATTAATGTTAATGACTTTGAATATTCCTATTCATCTCCTGATTCAGGATCCCTCCAATCAACACCAATTGAATGGTTTCTTTGATTTGTGTGATTGTGTGATTGTGTGTGTGTGTGTGTTTTCTGATTATTAGTAAGTATGAGCATGTCTTCATGTATTTGTTAGACATTCAGGTTTCCCCTTCTGTGAGGTTCTTGTCTACATCTTCATGTAATTCCTGGTTGTTTGTCTATATTTGCAGAAATTCTTTATATTTTAGATTCTTTGCATACTAGACATTGATTACTTCTCCCTATTTGGCATCACTGTATCTCAGTTACATCATTAAAAGAACAGAAATATTTAATGCTTTAATGTTGTTAAATTCATCAATTTTCACCTAACAGTTTGAGTTTGGGGAATTATTTAAGAAGTCATTATCCACCTAAATTCACAAAAATATGATCATATTTATTGGCTTCATATTTTTCTATTTTATGTTTAGATTTTTATTTATCTACTTATTTTTTAAAATGTTTATTTATTTTAAGAGAAAGAGCATGCACACACACAAGCTGGGGAGGGGCAGAGAGAGAGGGAGACAGAGGATCTGAAGCAAGACTCTGCACTGTTATCAGAGTTCAAACTCACAAACTATGAGATTGTGACCTGAGCCACCCAGGCACCCAGAATTTCCTTCTTTTTATTTAATTTTATTTTTTTAATTTTATTTTTTTTAATTTACATCCAAATTAGTTAGCATATAGTGCAACAATGATTTAAGGAGTAGATTCCTTAGTGTCCCTTACCCATTTAGCTCATCCCCCCTCCCACAACCCCTCCAGTAACCCTCAGTTTGTTCTCCGTATTTATGTGTCTCTTCTGTTTTGTCCCTCCCTGTTTTTATATTATTTTTGTTTCCCTTCCCTTATGTTCATCTGTTTTGTCTCTTAAAGTCCTCATATGAGTGAAGTCGTGTAATTTTTGTCTTTCTCTGACTGACTAATTTCACTTAGCATAATACCCTCCAGTTCCATCCATGTAGTTGCAAATGGCAAGATTTCATTCTTTTTGATTGCCGAGTAATACTCCATTGTGTATATATATATCACATCTTCTTTATCCACAGAATTTCCTTTTTTTTTAAGTTGAGTAGTATTCTGTTGTTTGTGTGTACCATATTTTCTTTATCCATTCATCTGTTGATCAACATTTAGGTTGTTTCTGCATCTTGGCTGTTGTGCACAGTGCCACAAGGAACATGGAAGTACTAATATCTCTTTGAGATTCTGATTTCACTTCTTTTCCATAAATACCCAAAAGTGGGATTGCATCATATGTACTTTTATTTTTATTTTTTGAGAGGTGGGGAGGGGTTGCGGAAGAGGGGGAGAGAGAAAAAATCTTTTTCCCTCTCTGGGTGTGGAGCCCAACATGGGGCTCAATCTTACAACCATGAGATCATGACCTGAGCTGAAATCAAGAGTTGGTTGCTTAACCGACTGAGCCACTCAAGTGCCCCTATTTTTAATTTTTAAAGAAATGTCCATACTGTTTTCCACATTGGCTGTACCATTTTGCAACTCCACCAATAGCAAGCAAGGGTTTCATTTTCTACACATCCTCATCAACCTATGCTGTCTTTTGTTTCTTGTTTTATTAGTTTTGGTTTTTTTTGTTTCTTTCTAGTTATTAGCAAGTTGTTTTAATTGAAGTAAGTTAACATACAATATTATACATTAGTTTCAAGTGTACAACATAGTGATTTGATAATTATATATGTTACATATGCTCACCACAATAAATGTAGTTACTATCCGGCATGATACAAAGTTATTACCATATTATTTACCCTATTCCCTATGCTGTACTTTTCATCCCTGTGACTTAATTATTTTATAACTGGAAGTTTGTACTTCATAATTCCCTTCATCTATTTTGTCCATTTCCCCACCTTCTTCCCCTCCGGTAACCATTAGTTTGTTCTCAGTATTTATGAGTCTTTCTGCTTTTTGTTGGTTCATTGGTTTGTTGGTTTGTTGATTTGTTTTGTTTTTTAGATTCCACATATAACGGCAATCATATGGTATTTGTCTTTCTCTGTCTGACTTATTTCACGTGGCATAATACCGTCTAGGTCTATTCATGTTGTTGTGAATGGCAAGATTTCATTCTTTCCTGCGGCTGAAAAATATATATATCTCACATCTTCTTTATCCATTCATTTAGTGGTGGATACTTAAGTTGATTCCATATCTTGGTTATTGTAAATAGTGAGCAATAAACACAGGGGTGCATATATCTTTTTGAATTAGTGTTTCCATTTTCTTTGGGTAACTACCCAGAAGTGGAATTACTTAATCATACAGTATTTCTAATTTTTAATTTTTTGAGGAACCTCCATACTGTTTTCCACAGTGGCTGCATCAGTTTACATTTTTAGTGATAGTCTTTTTTTCCTCCCATACTGTCTGTCATTGGGTTAAATATTCTTTTGTTACTTTGAGTTATATTTCATGCTTAGTCTTCTGATGTTCTTTCCTAACTTACTAAGGACAATACTTGTATTTATTTTGTAATGTCAATTTCTTAAACATATACAACTTGCCATAATTCTCACCTACCTCCCATGATCTCCTTTCCTCCTTCCATGTAGGTTTGAATTATTCAATTATTTTATATAGGGATACAAGTTGGGGGAATTTGCTTTATGGGGGCAATTCATCAATTTTTATGAATTATTTATCCTTTCTATATATCTTTCTGTTTGTCTGGAAAAATCCAGTCATTATGTTATTATTTACAGCCCTCAGATTTACAGCCACATGGATGCTTAAGTAAAAGCTTTTTCCCAGCACCTTGTCAAAGGGTGGTCCTAGGAAAACATAAAGGCTTCAGAGGATGAACAGTTCATTGATTTCTCTCTCTCTCTCTCTCTCTCTCTCTCCCTAAGAGCCAAGAACTCTGGAATGTGTTAAAATAAGAAGACTCCTCATCATTAACTCAAGTGGAAAAAAAAAAATCACATCATGAAAGAAGAGATCATTACAGAATTGGTTGCTTGAATATATAATTTGATACTAGATACATTGATTGCTTGAATATATAATTTGATTCTGGATAAAAAATAAATGTACAATTGTTTTTGGTTTTTTTTTTTTTTTAGTGTTTATTTATTTTTTAGAGATAGAGTGGGGCAGAGGGAGGGAGACACAAAATCCGAAGCAGGCTCCAGGCTCTGAGCTGTCAGCACAGAGCCAGATGCGAGGCTTGAACCCATGAGGCAGAAGACCGTGACCTGAGCTGAAGTCAGATGCTTAACCAACTGAGCCACCCAAGCACCCCACATACATTTGTTTTTTAGTGTCTATTGGTGAAATTCAGCGACAATAGTTTTGCACTCAGTTAAATTTCAACAGAGCAACTGGCGTTCAGGTCATATGAGGACAGTGAAGTTAATAAACACATAGTAGGGGCAGTTTAATCTGATGGCAGCAAGAAAATAATAAGATAGTTATCAGAAGTGGCTCAACGGGTCAGCACCAGATTAGCATCTTTTCCCCTTATCTTCTTTGTCTACAACATACAATTACCCCTTCCTTCTTTCTCATACCCACCCCCCTTTGCTTTCCCTACCAGAGCAACACTTTTTTGGTTTCCTGAAACCTGTGCTCCCCCGAATTGCAATTCCGAGACCCCAAATAACAAACCTTTGTTCTTTTTTAATTTCACCTCCTTCTGTGGATTAACACCTGCTGAGCAATGCAGACAGCCATACCTCTGAGCGAGAGCTCAAACGATTGAGGTCTCCCCACCTCCCCCCATTTCCTTTTTCTCTGGGTCCTTGTAGAGTGGAAATGGAAAGAGTATATGTTTTTCCCAACACTTTCTCAAAGTGTTTCCAAAACGGCCACCTCTGACAAATGCACCGTGTTTCAGATGGGGAATTTACCCACGAGACTGGAAACCCCAACCGCTGGCTCCCGCAAGTGGGTGTAGCGGTGAGGACTCCAGCCGGGGAGGCGGGGGGGCGGCGAGGAGAGCCACTGCAGCAGCTCCTCGGGGCGGGGACCGGCCGCGCCTTCTAGGCTTCCAGCTCCTTCAGCGAGAACCCTCGGGCTTTCCAGCTGAGGCCGGCCATCCCGCGCGGCAGGGAGCGACGATGGAGAGGCTGGTGAGCCGGGCCGGGCGGGACGCGGGACGGCGGGCGCGGGGTGGGCGATGCGGCGCGCGTGGCCCCGGGCTGGCGGCGGGCAGAGCTGTCCGTGGCTTCGGTGTCTGTCGGCGCTGGCCCCGCGACGCTTCACCTGGGGAGGAGCGGATTTTGCCTCCGGAAGGGAGGTCTTCAGGCAGTTCCTGGCGGCCCGGGTCCCTGTCCCAGTGTCCTGGAAAAAGGATGCTGCCGGGAGACGCTTCTCCCGGGCTCTTTCGGAGGGGAGCTGGGCAGGGAGGCGCGCTGGCGGCCGGCGGGCCCTCTGGGCAGTCCGGCGGCCTGGCTTACTGGCCGGGGCTCGAGGGCGGCAGAGCACGTTCTGTTGTACCCTGTCCCAAGGAGGGGATGGCGGTGGTCTTCTGGCTCCGTCGTGGCACCCAAAGCTGGGGTGGGGCTGCAGGATTCAGGGCTCGCTCTCTCCGGGGGAGCTCGCTCCCTCCTGGGATACACCGGCCTCTTTTTCCATCCTCCGGGCCCTTTGTCTTGAGAGCCATAAAGGATTTGCCTTGAGAGCCTATAAATCCGGGTTAAACCCCAGGATATCCAAGAGAGACAGACCCTTTGTTTATTCAGGACCTGTTTCCTAACTGAATGGGAGCCTTTTTATTTACGCTGCTGTAATGAAAAGAAATAATAACAATGACTAAAACAGTTAAAATCCAAATACAAGTAATACCTCAAGGTAATTTTTTTCAGATGTAGTTTACTGGCGACACCACACAGCCAGTCATTCGGCATCTTAACAAAGGAGTATGGTGGCCTGCGAGCTAGTGTTTCCTTGCGCTGGACGCTTCTGATCTTCACAGCCTTCAGAGAAGGAATTTTACAAATAAGGAAACAAGCAGAGAGGTTAATTTTTACATGTCCATGTGACTGCATGTGATGGGATCAGGATTTGGACCCAGACACTCAGGGGGAGAGGCTCTGAGCAGTTGGTTGCCAGAGGCACAGGTCTCTGTGAACCTTGGCCTTGTCGGCAAAGAGCTCCTGGATTTCTCCATTTTATATTTGTACTCCCTGTATATGATGTGATTCGTGGACTTTTTTAGTTACCTAACATGTCTTGGTATTTACTGCATCTTAGGCGCTGTATTAAGTATTTTAAATGCTGAGTTCTTACAGCAACCCGATGAAATAATAACGATATTCATTCGCTGCTTAGCTGTGTCACTCACTATTCTGGGATCCTTACATGTACTACTTTGTTTAGTCTTTTTAATAAAAGAGTTCGGTGCTGTTATTTTGCCCACATCTTGGAGAGGTAGAGTCATTTGTCCTGGCTCACGCATCCTGCGTTTGTGCTAACCCAGCTCATCACCCAGGATAATTATGTATATATTTAATAGCAAGGCTTCCCTCCGAATTCCCTAGTCTCAATCATTGTGTTTTGCTTCTTAAAAACATTGTCGGCTCCCAGCTTACACACTGCGTTTTGGTGTGCATCTGTTTTCTCTGTTATCCTAAAACACAGATTTTCACTACGAGAACCAATCCGTTCTGCATTTCTCATCATCTTTGCTTTTGGATTTCCACATAAGAGAGGGGCATATGGTTTTTTAAAAAAATACCATGGAATTAGAATGCCAAAGAAGACTTTTTGGTTTCAGAAGCCAAGGTGTTGATATAGCAAAAGCCTAAGCATTTGAGTTTTAAAAGCCTAAATATGCTGAAAAACCCACGACATATGTTATTCCAGATGGGAGAAACGCAGGGTGATGGAGGAACCAGCTTTCCCAACCCTAGCGGAAGTAAATGTTTTCTAGGCTACGAGAGCAAAGAGGGTCTGTCTGAAGTCTATATTCAGACACAAATTTGTGCTCTGAGAAGGTAGCCCTGTGCCTGGTGCCCATGAGTGGGGAGTTCAGGGAGGATGATAAATAGAACTTACAGGGAGGTGTTGAAATCCAAGAACAGAAAACACCTGTGCCTTGCTTTCTTGGGAGCAACTGTGGAAAGAGACTGGCCTCCCCATCATGATAAGTGAACAGTAAGACAAGAGATGGATAGGCAGAGAACACGCAGAACGTCCCTTTGCTGAACACAGGGAGAATCCAGGAGCACGGAATCAGGAGAACAAAAGAGAAGACGAGAAGACACTGTAAGCACAAGGTTTAATTGTTTAATTGCTATGACCATGATGTCTTGAGGGGAACACGGCCATCTTAGAGAATGCCACCGTGGAGAGATGGTTGTAACTGAGGATTAACAGCCCTGCCCCGTGGCTTGGCATTGTGTGAGCCTCTAGGAATGGAGATGCAATGCAATGCCAGAGACTGGAACAGTTGTGAAGTGCTGGGGTGGCAGGGGGCTGAATTGACAGAGATTATGTGACATTGACTGCAATGAAGTCTCTACCTCTAGTTGGAATGGCAACGTGAAATAACAATGAAATTTAGTTAAAGAAAAATACAGAGAAACCCACATTTCTTATGTATCTCTATTATAGAAAAATGTAGGGAAAAGTTACATTTCTGGCCTGTACCCCTTACAATGAACACACATGTAGACCAAATGAATGGATCTATGGGGCTACTGTAGAGAGAGGTTAATCTGTCTACATCCCATCCTCTCATCTTATAGTAAAATCATACCCAGAATAACATTTCATTAAATATCACCATGTAAAATGCCAGGGGTTTCTGCCCGGTCACTTTAAGCATTGAAGAAAAAAAAAAAAAAAAGGACATTACTGTTTTTTCAAAATGTGCGATTCATGTAAAATTTGCAGAATTCGCGGGGAAAAATACTTCAGCAAACTTCAAGGCAGTCACATCTTTCTGAAAGATGGTTACCCCTGAGTTACATTTTTAATGTTAACAGATGTGGATTATTTGGGATGTAAATGCTTTCTAACGTTTGCAGTCTCTGTGTTTTCTGTGTGTATTTATGGCAGTTTTTTTTTTCCCCCTGACCATCCTACATCTTTGAGACCTTGCTGTTTACAGTAGTGGCTTTGAGAGCAAGGCCTCCAATTGCTAGGGATTGCCATAATGGATGAGCCACACGGTTGCTTTTCCCTTCCCGTATCCTGAGCACAGTCTTTTATTTCTTCCATTTATAGTCCCTGGTTCTACATCCAAAGAACCAAAGTTCTGTGGTGGTTGAAACTTCAGCTGCAGCATTTCTGGAGGTAGCAATGAGATGGAAGCTTCTTGAGCTTTTTGTCCACATCCAAATGCCCATTTCTCTGCTTTGCTTTCTGTCTTCAGGTGTTCGTTGGGCTCTTGTGTCATCTGTCTGCCTACAGACTGATTTGGTTCTTCGCAGCAGTGAGGCTCTGCAGGGCGGCCCAAGGTAAAAAGTTATGCAATTCCCCTGTGTGGAGTCTAGGAAACAAAATTTCTGGGATGGAAACATTTGGCCACTGTTGTTTGGCCTGTGCTAGTTCATTTGTCTGCGTGAATTATTTAAATGTGTAATTTGCTTGGAGGAATGGGAGTGGTTCTTTCTGCTTTCCACATTTTTGTTTTCAAAGTGGAAAAAGACATTGGATACTTACAAACTGTTTTCATAGATTATACCAGACGTAAAAAAAATTCTTCCTAATTTAAGATGTTTTTTACCTATCAAATCGAGTAACTTCTAAATATCATTTAAACATAATTCCCTGTTTGTAAAGATAGGGAAACGCTTGGGGAGTACAAATTAATATACCCTTTTTAGAAGGTATTCTAGCAGTAAGCTTTTTAAATGGGGTTGCCCCTTTTTATAGAAAACTATGGAAAACAACGAAATATTGAGGTTCCATAGGTTCACAGTCTGTTATGTAACACGTGCTTGTGCTGTCCACTTATCTGCTGAATTTCCTGATTGGGCCAGACCTGTCTGCTCTGTGTCATAGGAAATCACACCTCACTTTGCTGCTGGCCTGTTATCACCTTCCATGTGATGTGCCTTTACGACAGCCTTTACAGCTGGGGGCAGGGCAGGTTTCACACCATCCACAGCACAGGCTTCACCAATCGACTGGGGGAATCTAAATGGAATTCTAGAGAAGCATCAAAGAATCGTAAACGTTCTCACCAAATTATTTCTTCCATAGTCAAAAGAGAAAAACCACCTAAGAAGTTAAAACTCTAGCTTTGATTCCTTTTCTACTCTCCATTCTAAAAGCAGCAGTTTCTTCAAATCTCTGCTCTGCAAAATCTCAAGGAACTTTCAGAAAACCCCAATCCCAACGGCAGGTATTGCTTCTAGAACATTTTACATCTACCAAGAATATGCCTCCCTAAAACTATATATGTATAACATCTATATTAACTCACTGCTTTTATTTTTGGGAGGCGGTGTGGGATTCTGGATATATGTGTGTATTCATTTTTCATTCTCTTGTTTCCTAATGAAATTAGGATTAAATATTTCCCTCTGCAAACTGCTTTATCAGTTTCTTTGGATTTCAATACATTATATTCTCCTTGTCATTCATAGTAATTGATTATTCTTCCTATGGTTTCTGGTGTAATTAGAGTTAAAAGAAGCATGTAAATTTCCTGTTTTATTGCATTGTGGACAGTGTTCAGGATCATAAAGTAGCAGCTTTTTTTGCACCCTTTTTTTTTTTTAATTTTTAATCTTTATTCATTTTTGAGAGAGAAACAGAGTGTGAGCAGGGAAGGAGCAGAGACAGAGGGAGACACAGAATCTGAAGCAGGCTCCAGGTCCCGAGCCATCGGCACAGAGCCGGACGCAGGGCTCAAACCCACAAACCGTGAGATCATGACCTGAGCTGAAGTCGGATGCTCAACCGACTGACCACCCAGGCGCCCCATTTTGCGTCCTTTTTCAAGTTCAGTTTTGGGGAACGTTTGTAGAGATTGTATGTTCTCTTTGTTTTTTCTTAAATATTTATTTTTGAGAGAGAGAGAGAGAGAGAGAAACAGAGCGCACACAAGTGGGGGAGGGGCAAAGAGAGAGGGGGACAGAGGATCTTAAGTAGGCTCTGCACTGACCACAGCAAGCCTGATGTGGGGCTCAAACTTGTGAACCATGAGATCGTGACCTGAGCCGAAGTCGGATGCTCAACTGACTGAGCTACCCAGGTGTCCCTATATATTCTATTTGGATAAAAGTTTATAAATACATACCTATATGCATATACATATATAATTTATATATAATGATTCATATATAAATATTCAGTTTTCAAATAATCTCTATCCATATATATATATATATATAAACTTTATTCAAGAGAGACAGAGAGAGTAAATGGGGGAGGGGCAGAGAGAGAGGGAGAGAGAGAATCCCAAGCAGGCTCCGCACTGCCAGCACAGAGTCCAATGTGGGGCTCGAACTCACGAAACTGTGACATCATGACCTGAGCTGAAACCAAGAGTCTGACGCTTAACCGACTGAGCACCCAGGTGTCCCTTCTCTATCCTTATATTTGACTTTTTTGCTTTATATATATTTTTTAATATATGGAAGTAAAACTCTCCCATTATCTCTGTGGGTTTAAAATTTTTTCTTTGCAGTTCTATTGGCTTTTGTATGTGTCGCTTATGTTGTTAGGCATATAAAGGTTTATAATTAATATATCTTATTTTAGATTGCTCCTTTTGTCATTTTGAAATGTCCCTTACAGTGTTTTTATCTTCTATTCTTTCTTTTCCCCTTTTTTTAAAGTTTTGATGGACTACCGGTGAAACATTCTAGGTCTTTGATTTTTTTCTTTAATTTTTCCCATATCTTTATCCCTTTGTGCTATATTCTGAAAGAATTTCATAATCTGGTCTTCCTACTTAACTAATTGACTCGTCAGCAAATGTCCATTTTGCTAAGTGAGCCAAGTTAAGATTTTATAGATGCCATTTGCTACACCTCTAATTTCTACTATTTACAATGCTGGCTTCTTTTTACACGTAAGATATGACATTTATTCATGTCAAAGTGTTTCTTGATTTATGATATCTTTATTCGTTTGGTAGGAGTTCTTAGATTTTGTAGAGTTCATTTTTCTTCTTTCATTGTGCCAGCTTTCTCACACCTGTGCCTGTTTGTTTTTATATCGCAGTTTCCTATGGAATCATCTATCATATCAACATGAGTAGCCAGCATTGTGGGGGAAGAAGTTATTGTCATGCCTTATGCTCTGCATTGCATTAAGTAAAAATGTGGGGGTGTGTAGATTCTTATTTGGCTGCCAAAGCCGTCTGTTACGATGCAGCCTCCTGAAGCACTGTCCTGAATATCTCTCTACCTTACGTTCCCGTATTCAGCACTGCTTTCTGGAGGCAGACGCCACTGTTGCTGCCCCTTCTTTTGCAGGGTGTGTGTGTGTGTGGAATGTATGGGGCTGCTGTATCTTCTTCACTTAAACTCAGCACTCTGCCAATTGTCCATTGGCCCTTTCCCTGCTTCTGCCTCTCTGGGCACGAACACATTCTATTCTATCTGACAGTGTTCATCTTCAACCTCATTCTACCTACTTTCAGTTTCCAGGGATTCTTTACACAGTATTTGTTCAGTGGGAGTTTGCTTTCTTGTTTTTCTACTCTGTTACTCTTAAAGATTGAATATACGTATTTGAACGTATATTTCTCTAACAGCATCAGGCATGTACATAAGTGTTTTCTTTGCATTTTTCTCTATTTTTTCTTTTTTTTCACTAGTAAAAGAATTTTACTTATTATTTATTTATTTATTTAATTCAATTTAATTTAAATTCAGGAGAGTTAACGTACAGTGTAGTCTTGGCTTCAGGAGTAGAACCCAGTGATTCATCTCTTACATATGACACCTGGTGCTCGCCCCAAAAAGTGCCCTCCTTAATGTCCATCAACCATTTAGCCCATCCCCCCACTGCCCTCCCCTCCAGCAACCCTCAGTTTGTTCTCTGTATTTAAGAGTCTCTCACGGTTTGCCTCCCTCTTTGTTTTAACCTTATTTTTCCCTCCCTTCCCCTATGTTCATCTGTTGTGTTTCTCAAATTCCACATATGAGTGAAATCATATGATATCTTTCTCTGACTGACTTATTTCACTTAGCATAATACACTCTAGTTCTATCCACATTGTTGCAAATGGCAAGATTTCATTATTTTGATTGCCAAGTAATATTCCATTGCATATATATACATCTTCTGTATCTATTCATCAGTCGATGGATATTTTTGCTCTTTCTATAATTTGGTTATTGTAGATAGTGCTGCTATAAACATTGGGGTGCATGTATCCCTTCGAAATAGCACACCTGTATCCCGTGGATAAATGCCTAGTAGTGCAATTGCTGGATCCTAGGGTAGTTCTGTTTTTAACTTTTTGAGGAACCTCCCTACTGTTTTCCAGAGTGGCTGCACCAGTTTGCATTCCCGCCAACAGTGCAAAAGGGTTCTCCTTTCTCCACATCCTCACCAACATCTGTTGTTTGCTGACTGGTTAATGTTAGCCATTCTGAAAGGTATGAAGTGGTATCTCATTGTGGTTTTGATTTGCATTTCCCTGATGTTGAGTGATGTTGAGCATCTTTTCATGTGTCAGCCATCTGGATGCCTTCTTTGGAAAAGTGTCTATTCATGTCTTCTTCTCATTTCTTCACTGGATTATTATTATTATTATTATTATTATCTTTTTGGGGGGGTGTTGAGTTTGGTAAGTTCTTTATAGATTTTGGATATGAGTCCTTTATCTGATATGCCACTTACAAATATCTTCTCCCATTCCATCGGTTGCCTTTTAGTTTTGCTGACAGTTTCCTTCACTGTGCAGAAGATTTTTATCTTGATGAGGTCCCAATAGTTCAGTTTTGCTTTTATTTCCTTTGCCTCCAGAGTCATGTCTAGTAAGAAGTTGCTGTGGCTGAGGTCAAAAAGGTTGCTGCCTGTTTTCTCCTGTAGGATTTTGATGGTTTCCTGTCTCACCTTTAGGTCTTTCATCCATTTTGAATTTATTTTTGTCTATGGTGTAAGAAAATGGTCCAGTTTCATTCTTCGGTGTGTCGCTGTCCAGTTTTCCCAGCACATTTGCTGAAGAGATGTCTTTTTTGCCATTGGATAATCTTTCCTACTTTGTCAAAAAATAGTTGGCCATATATTTGTGGGTTAATTTTGGGTTCTCTATTCTATTCCATCGATCTATGTGTCTGCCTATACTATACTGTCTTGATGATTACAGCTTTGTAATACAGCTTAAAGTCCGAAATTGTGATGCCTTCACCTCTGGTTTTCTTTTCCAAATTAATTTGAGTTTTAGAGCTCTTTTCTGGTTCCACACAAATTTTTGGATTGTTTCTTCTAGCTCTGTGAAGAGCACTGCTGTTATTTTGATAAGGATTCCATTGAATGCTGTAGAGTGCTT